GCACGTGCCACCATGCCCAGCTAATGTTTTGTATTTTTAGTAGAGACAGGGTTTCACCGTGTTGACCAGGATGGTCTTGATCTCCTGACCTCGTGATCCACCCGCCTCGGCCTCCCAAAGTGCTGGGATTACAGGCTTGAGCCACCGCGCCCGGCCACACTGGAACTAAAGGCATGCACCACCACACCCAGCTAATTTTTTGTATTTTGGCAGAGACGGGGTTTCACCATGTTGGCCAGGCTGGTCTCCAGCTCCTGACCTCAATCAATCTGCCCGCCTCAGCCTCCCAAAGTGCTGGGATTATAGGCATGATCCACTGTACCCAGCCAAATGTTCTTTATATATTCACAATACAAGTCCCTTACTGGATATATGATTTGTAGACATTTTCTCTGATTCTGCGGGTTGTGAGTGTGAGCTGTTATTTCTTCCTTACCTTGAGTTTGTGGATGCGTGAAGAGTCATAGCTGCTGGGAATATGTGCACGTTTCCGAGATGTAGAGCGAGATGAATCTTTGGGTGGAAAGGATGGGTGGGAAGGAAATCACCTCACCCACCTCCCACCCCACAGCCTCTCACCCGTAACTTGCTGTTGAGGATTTTGTCATTGATGTCCTCGTCAAAGCACTTCTGGGGGTAGATGTCAATGCAGTGAGTCCTCAGGTTCTGCTGGATCTGGAGATCCCGCACGGGTGACCTCAGCCTGCCCTGCCCACTCTGCCCTCTGCACCACTGACCCCATCCCTGTCCCGGGCACCCAGATCACCCTGCGCCTGAAGGCCTCTCGCTCCTCCATGGTCAGGCTGTCTGCCCGGGCGATCACAGGCACCACATTTACAGTCTGGCACAGCCGCTGCAGGAACTCAATGTCCAGGGGCCGCAGGCTGCCGGGTAAGGCAGTGATGGGGGCGGAGGTGGTGGTGAATGTGTAAGTGACAGCAGGTGGGGTGCGGGCTCGCAGCCTATGTCTGGGACCCCTACTCCTCCTCCCTGCCCCATGCCGGTGGTCCTTGCCTTGCAGGTGCAGCCCCTCACCAGTGCCCAGTGGGTGGTACGAAGTACACACAGCAGTGCACGCGGGTGTCTGGGATGTGGCGCTGGCGGGTGATGAGGATCTCCTCCTGCAGGTACCGCTCGTACTGCTCGTTGATGTAGCCCAGGATGGGGTCCCAGCTGGGGCGGGAGGTGGACCCTCCCCTCAGAAGTGTGCTGTGCCCGGGGAGCCCCATCCCTCTCTGCTGCATCCTCTGGGTGGTCCTCCCTTGGGATAAGGAATTGTCCCAGTTTGCCTGGGACCTCTGGATCACCCCGTTACTTTCCTCCACTTTCTGTACCATTATAGAGACATAAAGAGACCTCCTGCCATTCTCCACCGGAGGCCTCAGCTTCACTGTCTATAAAATGGGGACAATAGTAGAACCTACTTTGCAAGTAAGGGAGGGGTGAGCATAACTGCATTAAAGGGCCACAGCTGGGCTCGGACCACCAAGGAGTCTCGCCTGATGGTTGCAGGGGTCTCCCTTCTCCTCTCCAAGTCCCCTCCCCTCTGGGATATTGTCTGCACCATAAGTAGCCAGAAAGGTCCTTTTAAAAACAGGAGTCAGGCCAGGCACGGTGGCTCATGCCTGTAATCCCAGCACTTTGGGAGGCTGAGGCAGGAGGATCGAGTGAGCCCAGGAGTTAGAGGCCAGCCTGGGCAACGTGGGGGAAAACCCCAACTCTACAAAAAATACAAAAATTAGCTGGGTGTGGTGGCACGTGTCTGTGGTCCCAGCTACTCAGGAGGCTGAAGCAGGAGGTTCACTTGAGCCCAGGGTGGTCGAGGCTGTAGTGAGCCATGATCTTACCCCTACACTCCAGCCTGGGAAACAGAGTGAGATGCTGTCTCCAAATTGAAATGAAATGAAACGAAACCAGGGCCAGGCACAGTGGCTCACACCTATAATCCCAGTGCTTTAAGAGGCCGAGGCAAGCTGATCACCTAAGGTCAGGAATTTGAGACCAGCCTGGCCAACATGGTGAAACCCTGTCTCTACTAAAAAAAAAAAAAAAAAATTAGCCAAGTGCGTTGGTGGATGCCTGTAATTCCAGCTGCTCGGGAGGCTGAGGCAGGAGAACTGCTTGAACCTAGAGGTGGAGGTTACAGTGAGCCGAGATTGCACCAGAGCCCTTCCGCCTGGGCCACAAGAGTGAGACTCTCTCAAAAAACAAAAGCAAGGCCGGGCGCGGTGGCTCACGCCTGTAATCCCAGCACTTTGGGAGGCCGAGGCGGGTGGATCACGAGGTCAAGAGATCGAGACCATCCTGGTCAACATGGTGAAACCCCGTCTCTACTAAAAACTACAAAACATTAGCTGGGCATGGTGGCGCGTGCCTGTAATCCCAGCTACTCAGGAGGCTGAGCCAGGAGAATTGCCTGAACCCAGGAGGCGGAGGTTGCGGTGAGCCGAGATCGCGCCATTGCACTCCAGCCTGGGTAACGAGCGAAACTCCATCTCAAAAAAACAAACAAACAAACAAACAAAAAAAACAAAAGCAAAAATTAGCCGGGACTCTCTTGAACCCAGGAGGTGGGGGTTGCCGTGAGCCGAGATTGTTCACTGCAGCCTAGGCAATAGAAGGAGACTCAATCTCAAAAAAAAAAAAAGAGCACATGGGGCCTGGCTGTTCCAGGTCTGGGGTGTTTCCCAAAGGTTGGAGGGGCAGGGACAGGGACAGGAGGGGACAGCCATGACTTGAGCCCCAACCTCAAGAACCCACCACTTGTCATTGTTGATTTGGTCCCCGAAGCCGGGCGTGTCGGTCACTGTCAGCTTCAGCTTCACGCCCTTCTCCTCGATGACTGTGGAGGGAGCGCGGAGTTGGGAGAGGCTGGACTGGGATGGGAGCGGGTCGGGTGGGGTGGGGTGGGGTGGGGTGTGGGCAGGGGCTCACTCACCATGGGTCACTGAATGCAGCTGCAGCGTCTGGGGTGTGGGCACCCCCAAGCCTGGCGGGTTTGACTTCCACACTTTGGACTTGAACAGCGTGTTCACCATGGTGGACTTGCCCAGCCCGCTCTGCCCTGGGAGTGGCGACCACATGACAGCGGTTAGGGTGGGCATTTTAGGCAGTTTTTCTCTAACTCTTTACTTTTTTATTTTTGGAGACAGGGTCTCAGTCTGTCACCCAGGCTGCAGTGCAGTGATGCAATCACAGTTCATGGCAGCCCTAACCTTCCCAGGCTCTACTGATCCTCCCACCTCAGCCTCCCAAGTAGCTGGGACTGCAGGCGCACGCCACTGAGCTTGGCTAATTTTTATACTTTTTTTTTTTTTTTTTTTTTTTTAAGGCAGGGTCTCACTCTCACCCAGGCTGAAGTGATCTCAGCTCACGGCAACCTCTGACTTCAGATTCAGATGATCCTCCCACCACAGCCCTGCAAGTAGCTGGAACTACAGGTGCACACCACCATCCTTAGCGAATTTTAAAAAGTTTTTTGTAGAGATGGGTCTTGCTGTGTTGCCTAGGCTGGTCATGAACTCCTGGCCTCAGGGATCCTTCTGCTTCAGTCTTGCTCTGTTGCCCAGACTAGAGTACAGTGGAGCAATCCAGCAACCTCACTGCAACCTCTGCTACCCAGGTTCCAGCAATTCTCCTGCCTTAGCCTTCTAAGTAGCTAGGATTACAGGTACCTGCCGCCACGTCTGGCTTAATTTTGTATTTTTAGTAGAGACGAGGTTTTAACGTGTTGGCCAGGCTGGTTTTGAACCCCTGACCTCAAGTGATCCTCCCGTCTTGGCCTTTCTTTCTTTCTTTTTTTGAAGTCTCGCTCTGTTGCCCAGGCTGGAGTGCACTGGCCTGATCTTGGCTCACTACAACCTCTGCCTCCTGAGTTCAATCCATTCTCCTGCCTCAGCCTCCTGAGTAGCTGGGACTAGAGGCGCCGGCCACCACGCCCATCTAATTGTATTTTTTTTTTTTGAGACGGAGTCTTGCTCTGTTGCCAGGCTGGAGTGTGGTGGCATGATCTCGGCTCACTGCAACCTCCGCCTCTTGGGATTCAAGCGATTCTCTGCCTCAGCCTCCCGAGTAGCTTCGATTACAGGCATGTGCTAATTTTTTGTATTTTTAGTAGGGATGGGGTTTCACCTTGTTAGCCAGGATGGTCTTGATCTCCTGACCTCGTGATCTGCCTGCCTCAGCCTCCCAAAGTGCTGGGATTACAGGCATGAGCCACCTTGCCCGGCCAAGCTAATTGTATTTTTAGTAGAGACAGGGTTTCACCATGTTGGCCAGGCTGCTCCTCCTGGCCTCCAAAAGTGCTGGGATTACAGGAGTGAGCCACTGCGCCCGGCCCTGCCTCAACCTTTCAAAGTGCTGGAATTACAGGCGTGAGCCACCATGTCCGTCCTCGTTTTTGTACTTTTTGTAGACACAGGATTCTGCCTTGTTGCCCAAGCTAGTCTCGAACTCCTGAGCTCAAGTGATTCACCAGCCTCAGCCTCCCCAAGCCCTGGCTTATAATTATGAGCCACCGCTTCAGGCAGATTTTTGTCTTTTAATGACTCAGCATTTCTCAAATTTTCAATGGCAACATCCCTGTGAGGTGCCATTATTAGGCCCACTTAACAGTCAGGGAGGGACAACAGTCTGCCAAAGGTGAGGCCACAGGCCCAGGCCTGCAGGGTAGCACTGTGGCTCTGTCCCATGGTGGGCCCCGCCTCTCACTCACCCACCACCATGATGTTAAACTCAAAGCCCATCTTCATAGCCTTGATCTTCAGCTGGTCCAGCACAGCCTCGATGCCCACGGGACCAAGCATCTCGCAGGGTGGGGTGCTGGGGCTGGAGGGCCGCGAGGATGAGCAGGGAGAGGGGGAGCGCCTCAGGGGGTCCATGGGGGCCGAGGGTTCCAGATGCCTGTCACCAGGTGGGTGGGGAGAAGGGGGTCGCTGGGGCTCAGAGGAGCCCACACTAACCTCAGATCTGAACCCCAATTTGAGCTTGGCTGCTGGCCAACCCCCTCCACACATCATGCCTCCGGTGTATCCTAAGTGCCCATAGTCCCAGGGGCGTGGTGAGGGGCATGTGGGGAGCCGTTTCTCCAGGGTGCCTCCATCCCCATCCAGAGAGGCTCCAGCCCCAGCGGTCTGCCCTGTCTCTACCTACAGCCCAGGCGATTCTCTCAGGTCACTTCCCCCAGCAAAGCCTGGTGGGCTGGGCAGAGTCCAGGAATGGTGTCTGCAGACAGCTGGAATCCTGGAGGGGTCACAGGGAGTGTGTGTGGGATGAAGTAGCTCCCGTCCCAGCAGGGAACAAGGCAGGGGGCTCAGGATGAGGCGCCCCTACTTTCCCCAGGGAGACACACAGCAGAGTTGATAGAGGTGGAGAGCGAGAAAGATGGCACAGGCGTGAAGGTGACAGAGATACAGAGAGAGAGGGATAGACCAAGGCCAGGCAGGGAAGATGGCTGGGAAGGAGCGGAGCGGGAGCCCTCCTGGCAGGAAGAGAGAAGCGGCGTGGTGTGGTACCTGGTGCACGTGGGTCCTGGTGGAGCTTTGAGGAGCTGCCTTGTCCTGGCAGGGCCTGGTGTGTGTGAGGGGGGAGGTGAGAGGGTGACAGTTAACCGAAGAATCTGAGCTCCATCCCCCACTTCCTGACCCCCCCACCTGGGGGCTTCTCTGCAGCAGGAGTAGGAATTCTTACCCCTCTAATCCTTCTAATGACCCTAGCCTAATAAAGCAACGATCCCCACCCCACGTAGAACCAGGAGCCTGAGGCCCCCACATCAGCTGGGCTTCCACCTCCAAGCTCACGCCCTCAACCCCTCTGCTGGGACGAGCAAACCTGGACCCCACAGCTGGCTAGCGGGACATCCGTGTCCATCCTTGGTGCCATGTGTTTTAAGTTGCCAGTGTCAAAAACATTATGAGATTGCTTTACAAATATTTACCAAGTCCTGACTCTGCACATGGCATCGTTCTAGAAGCACAAAGATAACTTGTTTACTACTGCCTCTTTTCTTGTTTACAGAAATATCTAGATTTCCAGTGTATCTTACAGATTATCGCGCTGACTTGAGATGCCCTCTTTAAATGGGTCATGTGCTTTCCAGACTGCCTTGGTCCTCACTGCTCCCTTATCGTCTCTCTGATAAGCTTTTGTTTTGTTTTGTTTTGGACAGAGTCTTGCTCTGTTGCCCACACTGAAGTGCAGTGGCACGATCTTGGCTCACTGAAACCTCTGCCTCCCAGGTTCAAGCGATTCTCCTGCCTCAGCCTCTGAAGTAGCTGGATTACAGGTGTGCACCACCACGCCTGGCTAATTTTATTTTTTTTTTTGAGATGGAGTCTTGCTCTGTCACCCAGGCTGGAGTGCAGTGGTGCGATCTCAGCTCACTGCAACCCCCGCCTCCCGGGTTCAAGTGATTATCCTGCCTCAGCCTCCCGAGTAGCTAGGACTACAGGCCCACGCCACCATGCCCGGCTAATTTTTTTTCATTTTTAGTAGAGACAGGGTTTCGCTATGTTGGCCAGGCTGGTCTTGAACTCTTGACCTCGGGTGATCCACCCACCTTGGTCTCCCAAAGTGCTAGGATTACAGGCGTGAGCCACTGCGGCTGGCCTGAGTGCCCTTTTTCAGTAATCATGGGAAATTTCCCCAGTTCACCTATAAGCAGAATTGCTGGGTCTTAAGGTAACACTGTGTGTGTGGTTTTTCTTTCTTTGAGGTAGAGACTGGCTCTGTTGCCCAGGCTGAGTGCAGTGGCACCATTATGGCTCACTGCAACCCCTGCCTCCAGGTTCAAGTGATTCTCCTGCTTCAGCCTCCCTAATAGCTGGGATTACAGACATGTGCCACCATGACTGGCTAATCTGAGATTGCGCCATTGCACTCTAGCCTGGGCAACAGTGAGACTCTACCTTAAAAAAAAAAAAAAAAAAAGGGTCAGGCATGGTGACCCACACCAGTAATCCCAATACTATGGGAGGCCAATGCAGGTGGATTACCTGAGGTCAAGAGTTCGAGACCAGCCTGGCCAACATGGTGAAACTCCATCTCTACTAAAAGTACAAAAAAATAGCTGGGCATAGTGGTGGGAGCCTGTAATCCCAGCTACTCCAGAAGTTGAGGCAGGAGAATTGCTTAAACCTGGCAGGTGGAGACTCTAGTGAACCGACATTGCACATTGCACTCAGTCTGGGAAGACCAAATCTCCGTCTAAAACAAAAAACAAAAAAAAGGGAGGGAGGGGAATTAGAGTCAGAGGAGGAAAAGTGAGCCTGGAAGCAGAGGTTGGAGGGTTAGAGGGATGGGAGACTGTGGGCCAAGGAATGCTGTCAGCCTCTAGAAGTTGGAGAAGGCCAGGGATGGACTCTGCCCTAGAACATTGAGGATGAACCCAACCTGGCTGACTCATTATAGACTCTGACCCTCAGAACTGTAGGGTAATAAGTTTGTGCTGTTTGAAGCCACAGAGTTTGTGGTAACGTTATGGCAGCATGGGGAAATGAACACATTAGGTGTGTGACGGGTTAACTGCTTAACTTCTCTAGGTCTCTGTTTCCTCATCTGTAAAATGGGAAAAGCAGTGATACCCACTTTAGGATTGCCATGAGAAATAAGCTAGGTGACACAGTACAGTGCTAGGGGCAGAGCCTTACATTAGCTGCTATTTTCAAGGATTAAAATAGAGAAAATAAGGACGGCGAAGACTCCTAGCACAGCCAGCCTTCTGCATCCGTAGGTTCCAGATCTGTGGATTCAGCCAACCACAGACAGAAAATATTTGGGAAAAAATCATATCTCGGCCGGGCGCGGTGGCTCAAGCCTGTAATCCCAGCACTTTGGGAGGCCGAGGCGGGCGGATCACGAGGTCAAGAGATCGAGACCATCCTGGTCAACATGGTGAAACCCCGTCTCTACTAAAAATACAAAAAAAAATTAGCTGGGCATGGTGGCACGTGCCTGTAATCCCAGCTACTAAGGAGGCTGGGGCAGGAGAATTGCCTGAACCCAGGAGGTGGAGGTTGCGGTGAGCCGAGATCGCGCCATTGCACTCCAGCCTGGGTAACAAGAGCGAAACTCCGTCTCAAAAAAAAAAAAAAAAAGAAAAAATCATATCTCTACTGGACATGTACAGACCTTTTAATTATTCCCTAAATAATGTAACAACCATTCATCTGCATTTACATTATATTAAGTATATATACATAAACACACACACACACATATTCTTTTTGAGATGGAGTCTTGCTCTGTCTCACCCAGGCTGGGAGCGCAGTGGCGCCATCTTGGCTCACTGCAGCCTCCTCCTCTGGGATTCAACCCATTCTCCTGCCTCAGCCTTCCTCCTGAGTAGCAGGGATTACAGGTGTGTACCACCACACCCAGGTAATTTTTGTATTTTTATTTTTTTTGAGACAGAGTCTAGCTCTGTCACCCAGGCTGGAGTGCAGGGGCACGATCTTGGCTCACTGCAGCCTCTGCCTCGTTGGTTCAAGTGATTCTCCTGCCTCAGCCTCCTGAGTAGCTGGGATTACAGGTGCCTATCACCACACCGGGCTAATTTTTGTATTTTTAGTAGAGACAAAGTTTCACCATGTTGGCCAGGCTTGTCTCGAACTCCTGACCTCAGATGATCTGCCCGCCTCGGCTTCCCAAAGTGCTGGGATTACAAGCGTGAGCCACTGCACCCAACCAATTTTTTTATTTTTAGTAGAAATAGGGTTTTGCCAAGTTAGCCAGGATGGTCTCAAACTCCTGACCTTAAGTAATCTGCATACCTTGACCTTTCAAACTGGTGGAATTATAGGCGTGAGCCACCATGCCTGGTCATTATAAGTAATCCAGTGATTTTTGATTTAAAGTATAGAGGTTAATATGCAGAGTACTGCATCAATTTATATCAGAGACTTTAGCATCTGTGGATTTTGGTACCCATGGATGTCCTGGAACCAACGCCTGAGGATACCAGGGGCAACTATATGATGCCAGGCACAGCTGTCCTAGCTGTTAGAGTTGTGGGATGCAGGCAGGTTTTCTCCCCCTTCCCCCTCCCTCCCTTCCCCCCTCACATCTTTCCTCCCTTCTCTCTTTCATTCACAAAGTCAGCAGTTGCCAAGCACCCACGTATTCCCAGCTGCATATCTGGGATACTGGGGAAAGGTAGGAAGTCCCAGGACTTAAGAAGCCACAGGCCCGTGCCCTCTCTGGGCCTCGAGCAGTGGGGCGCCAGGAAGTACACCAGACAGGCCTGGGCCCTCTCCCCTGGGCTTGGCGGCCTCTCCTGGCCTGGGGAGGGCGGGGCTGGTTGCCAAGGCCTCAGGTGGTGTAGAGCCGGAAGCAGGAAGCAGCCCAGGACCTAGGACCTGCCTGGCTAGGGGCAGTTGGAGGCTTTAGGAGGTAGGTGAGGGGTCTGGGGGCTGAGCTGCCAGTGGGAAAGGGAGGAGACAGTGGCTGGAGAGAAGGTTGTTCATGCCGGGGTCGGGGTAGGGACCACAGGGCTGGGCAAGGACAGAGGCTGGGCCTGGGACCAAGGGAGTGGGAGGTGGCAGGGAAGCTGGCGCTGGGCCAGGAGTGGGCAGACGCTGGGCTCTGGGAGACCTGGATGTGGTCCCCACTGAGCCAAGCCCAGGGTTCTGATGCAGCCTCTGGGGGCCAGGGCAGGCGGCACTGTGGACGCCAAGATGTCTGTGTCCACGGAGGAGGTGGAGGCCACAGTTCAGGAAGTCCTGGGGAGACTAAAGAGCCACCAGCTGTTCCAGTCCACATGGGACACCGCTTCCTTCATTGTCTTCCTCACTTTCGTGGGTAAGTGTGGCTGCAGCCTCCGGGCCCCACCAGACCCCTGCCCAGGTCCCAGGTTGGGGGCTACATCTAGACACCTGTCCTGTCCCCAGGCACTGTGCTGCTCCTGCTGCTGCTGGTCATTGCCCACTGCTGCTGCTGCAGCTGCTGCGGCTCCCCCAGGCCCCACAGGGAAAGCCCCAGGAAGGTGAGCCCCTGGAAGGTGAGCCCTGCTGGCCTCTGGGTGCTAGGGGACCTGCACAGAACTGTACTAGGGGTGGAGGAGGGGGGTGAAGGGTTGGAGGAGGGGGGTGAAGGGGTGGAGGAGGGGGGTGAAGGGGTGGAGCAGGGGGATGGGGGCGGTGGTGGAAAGGGGGCTTGCCCCTCCTAGGGAACAAGGAGTGAACCTGCTGGGTTGCTCTGTGCTTCTCTTGCAGGAAAGACCTAAGGGAGTAGATAACTTGGCCCTGGAACCCTGACCCTGTGTGTCCTGCCCATTGGCAGTAACAAAGCCTTCTGTCTGCCCAAAGTCTGAGTCTGCAGTGTCTTCCAGCCCATCTGGGTGGGTGACATGGGACTTGCCGCCCCACTCAGGTGCCCATCAGCCCCCTTCGGCTGGCACAACTGTGCCAGGTCATCCTGGCTCACCTAGTTGGGAGGCAGCTGGTCTCAGACTCAGCAGCTCCAACTCCCAGGTGGAGCTCTTGTCACCACCCTGGGGTCTCTTGGCAGCTAGAGGGTCTTCTCTCGAAGGTGGGTTCTATGTCCAGCCCTGGCATAGGGAGCAGGGAAGCCAGGCTCTGGGAAGAGGGGAGACTGCCAGCTCCTGAAGCTGAAGGCCACTGACCACCAGGGACCCCCAGCCTGGGTCCCTGCTCAGACAGACAGACAGGGGCTCCAGTTAGAGTCTGATAATCTTTATTTCTTAGAGGATCCTGGGTCGGGGCTGTGGAACACACAGGCACCAGCGCTACATTCGCTCCTGGGTGGCTCTGTCTGCACTGTTCCTGCCTGTCCCCTGGGACTCATAGCTCAGTGCCACCACCTAACCTATGCCCTCCAGGGGGAGGGGACAGTGAAGGGGAGAGGAAGGAGAGCCCTGGGCCTGGCCCTGCCCTGAGTTCAAAGATTCCCACGGTGACCAGGAAGGCGGGGTTGGGAATATGGGACCCTCTCAGCCCCGCCTTCCTGACCTCCCCCTAACACCCCACCAGACCAGCCTCCCTTCCTCCTGGCACTTCCAGTGTCTGCTCCCAGCAGTGCAAATGTGTTAGGTGGGGGAGGGGTGCGGTATGGGAGATAAACAGCAGCCTGGCGTTGGCTGGTGCTGGCGCGGGTTTCAGTAGGGACTTGGGTCATCTTCCTGAGGACAGGCTCCTGGGCGCTGTGCTCAGAAGGGTCTGTAGCTCCAGTAGCTGGAGAACACAGAGACCTGCAAGGGGAGGGTTCGGTGAGTGGCTGGATGCAGGGCATGGGTGGTCCAAGTGAGATGTCAAGGTCACCCAAGGGCAATGGGTCAGGACTGGGCACTGCTGCCTAGCGGTGCTGTGGGGGTACACCAGACCCCAATGTTGGGGTGCTCTTAGGGTGTGGCAGGGCCCTCAGAACCCCTCCTCACTGTGGGGGTACACCAGACTCCAAGGTCGGGTGCTCTGAGGGTGTGCCAAGGACTGTTAGAAGCCCTTCCCCTAATGAAGGTGCTCGCCAGGGCCCTACCTTGTCCTTGAGCTGCTGGCAGAGCTGCAAGGAGACGGTGAAGTAGACCAGGGCGTCGTTGAGCCAGGGGACCACACACTCCACCTTGTGCACGTGGCTCACCTCCAGGCGCTGAGAGCCCCACTCACTGTGGGTGGTGAGAGGAGGGTCCCCGAGTCAGAGCCCAGCCCTCCAGGTGCAGCGGGATGGGGTGGCCGTGCCTGGACCTCCCTCCCTTGCCTACTTACAACATGGCCCCTGGGCTGTGCAGCACTGCGCCTCCGGCGGGGCGGAAATTCTAGGCAGAACAGCACCAGAGCTGTCAGGCCGCACAGGGTGTGGGCATGGGGGGCAGCAGGAGGGCAGGGGTCTCTCCTCACCTTGGTGGAGTTGGGCTGCAGGGCGTGCAGCTGGTACACCGTGAGGCAGAGCTTGTTGAGGTTGATGTAGACGTTGACCAGCAGGTCGGAGGGTAGGGCAGGGGCGAACATCCGCTGCAGGAGGCAGGTGGGATGAGGCCCTCCCAAGCCCCCAACCCAGGCTGGGTGGAGTGGGGCTCTGTGGTCAGTCATGGAGTCTGCAGGGGACCCCAGTGTCCACCCCAGGGATGTTCTTCCAGGCTTTTCCCAGGTGCCCCAAGTACCTTCCTGTGCCACCAGATTTGGGAAGCACAGACCCAAACAGGGTTAACATATTTTGGGGGCAAAGGACGGAAGCCAAGAACCCCATCCAAGAAAACCGCCTAGATAGAATTCTAGCTACTATCTGGGGGGTGGTCCCCTGTGTCCATCCTGTGGGCAAGCTGGGCCCCGCTGCGGGGACCCTCTCCTCGAGCAGGGGCACTGACCGTGAGGCCGCTGGCGGCGATCTCGGGCAGAGTGAGGGTGGCAGGGGTGGTGAGCCGGTTTCGGGCTCTGGTCAGCTGCAGCATCACTGCGTCCATCAGCTGTGGGGAGGGGCGGGGTTGGCTCTGCTTCCTCCTGTGCGCCCACGCATCAGGGAACAGCAGATAAGGTAGCTCCTACTCCCGCCTAGTCGCCATGGTTCCCAGGGCCAGAACCCCAGCAGCAGGGGCCTGTTAAAGACGGGTAGGTGGACTGCAGCTGGGCATGGGGGAGGGCAGGATGTCTGTACTAATGTCATCAGGATAGGGCTGATTCACTGCATGGGGGTCCCAGACGCTGGATCAATGGGGAATGGAAGGTCCTGGGAGGTCAGTCCCAGGGGCACAGGCTTTGCAGACAGGGGTACAGGCAACAAAATTTGGCTGTGAAAGGCCAGAGAGGGCTTCCTGGAGGAGGTGATGGGATGGCTGGGTTGAGGTTTTCAGGGTGGCGAGGCAGGGTCACAGCTGGTGGATGGTGGGACCACGTGGAGCCCATACTTTGTCTTTGCCATAGAGCAGAGCCTGGGCAGACTTCTCAGAGCCCCAGCTTCCATGCCATCCAGCTGTGGCCATGGGTACTGGGGGCGATGTGGCTCTCAGGAAACACACAAGAGCTGACTGGAGGCATGGGGGCTGCACCACCCCAGGGTGGTCACAGTTCTCGAACACACCTCAGTCTATCTGGTTCCAAGTATGACGAACCAGAGGTCCAGAGAGGGCAGGTGAGCCACCAGAGGACACACACCACGTCAGGGGCATAGCTCAAGGATGAGGCCAGGTGCCTGGGTCAGCTCTTCACACGTGCCATGTGGTTAATGTGAAGGCTTTCACTGCTGCTGGTGGCAGCAGGGTGTGCTGAGTGCTCACTGGAGGCCCCATGACCTGAATTATCACAGTCACTCCAGCTGGCCCCCCACCCCATAGGTAGAAAATAGAGACACAGAGTAGACAGGTAAGTGCCTAGAGATTGCACAGCTTGAAGTGGAGGCCCTGGGACTGGAACCTGGGTCTGAATCAGGATCAAGGACACGGGACTAGGCCCAGGGGGCCAGTGCTTTCCAGGAGTCAGGTCTGGGGGCAGCTCACCTTGAGGACCTCAGCACCCGTCTTGAACTGGTAGCTCTCATCCCTGCTGGTGAGCAGGTAAATGGCTTGGCTCACATGGTTTCTAGCATCCTGGATCTGGAAGCAAGGATCATTCAGTGGGGTCACTCCAGCTTCCATGTAGTCAGGAAGGGAGGGTGGGTGCTGCCTATTTGCCCCAGGTCATTACATTCTCTACACTGTCATCTCTGTGCCCCAGAGGGCCATGTCTGCGCCAGGGGATGGGTACTTGGCATCACCTGGGGCAGACCCAGTCTCTGCCCTAGTGTGGCTCACTTTCTAAGGGATGGACAAGACAGTAGTGCCCAAGACAAGAATCTGTGTGAGTTGCAAAAGGAAGCAAATAGGATGACGTGGGCAGAGGCAAGGGTCCTGAAATGGAGACAGTTGGGCGGAGGGGGCAGGGGAAAGAGGCAGGGCCCAATGGCACAGGAGCTGCCAGGGAGCACGGACCTCGTCCCCAGAGCCATGGCAAATCCCTAGAGGCTCTGGGCAAGGGAGTAACTTTTCAGAGGGCTTCTGAATCATCCCATCCCACCAGCTGCTGTGGGGATTCACAGTCCTGATGTGGCCCTCAGGCCAAGTTCTCCACCTTCCCACATGGCCCACGCTCCAGCGCTTCAGGCAACGCCTGTCCCCGGCTGTGCTGCTAGGAAACACCCTCCCAGACTTGCTGTGGCTGCAGATCCCCAGGGCCCATCCCTCTTTAGGGAGGCCCCAAGGCGGGCCTGCTGCCACCTGTCCTTGTGGCTGAGCACTGGCCAGGGAGAGGCGGGGTCACCTGCTGCAGCTTCCACTGCTTGTCCTCCCGGAAGGCGAAGTGCAACAGCTGGTTGTTCCGGGGCATCTTAAGGTTCACGTCCTGACAGGCAAGAGTGGGATGAGCCGGGCAGGGGGATACCTCCTGCCACAGCCACTCTGAGCCCTTGAGCCTGGGGCAGAAATGGTGTGTGTGGCAGCTCAGGCCTCAGCTGCTCTGTAGGGCAGAGGGTCTCTGGATGCCTTGGCCATTTGGCGGGTGAACAGGGAGGTCAGGAAACAGGAAATCAGGCCCAAGAGGAGCCACAAAGAAGTGAAATGGAGCAGGGCATGTGGCTCACACCTGTAATCCCAGCACTTTGGGAGGCCAAGGTGGGCGGATCATCTGAGGTTGGGAGTTCAAAGATCAGCCTGACCAACATGGAGAAACCCTGTCTCTATGAAAAATACAAAAATAACCAACCGTGGTAGAGCATGCCTGTAATCCCACCTACTTGGGTGGCTGAGGTAAGAGAATCGCTTGAACTGGGGAGGCATAGGAGGTTGCAGTGAGCTGAGATTTTGCCATTGCACTCCAGCCTGGGCAGCAAGAGTGAAACTTCATCTCAAAAAAAAAAAAAAAAAAAAGTGAAATGGAAAGAGGTGGAGATAGGGGCAGGGGAAAGGGGAAAGCAGAAGGCAGCCTCTGTCAGGCCTGGTGTGGAGTGCGTCTAGTGTCTACAAAGGCCAACAGATGGAGCCTAGGAGGGGGGCCCCCCCTGCGCCTTGGTGCCTGGCACAGGGTTGGGTGCAGACCAGAGCTCAGGCGTTGGCTGATTCAAATATGAGGTGTGGTCAGCCTAATCTGCCAATGCCCATGCTTCACTGGGTCCAGATGCCAGACCAGGCTGTGTGGGAAGAACTCCCCTCCTGAACCTCTTACTGAAGGTGCACACTGATCCCTGGAGGAGGTGTGGGGGTTGCTGTCGTTTTCCAAAGGAGAAAACTGAGGCCAGAGAGACCAAGGGTCCCACCCAGAGTCCCAGAGCTTGCATAGAAAGTGGGAGCCCCCATGCTCTTCCCCGCTGGCGGGATGGGAGGGGACA